TCAGCAACCATTCGTGGTCGCGAAACATGGCCGCTGCGATCCGATGACACCCGGAAGGTGCAAGTCTTCGAATATTGGTGTCTAAGGCTCATCTTAAAAACGCAGTGGCATGAGCGTATCACAAACGACGAACTTAGTAAACGCTGTTACTGTCTTTTTTGTTCGCCGCAATCAGCCGACAATTCAGACATGTCGACCAGCTGTCCGGAAAAGCACCAGACGGCCGTTTTGCTGTTACTGTCTTCCGAAGCTCTCAGCGGTCATCCAACACCGCAAACTTCAGTGGTTCGGTCACGTCCTCCGCAGACCAGGCACTGACTAGGGCCGTGGTTTCATCCTTGCCTTGCCAGGGTTGGTGTCCTCGCCTTGGTGGACAATTGAAAACGTAGCTCGCTGCAGTGAAATCGGATGTCGATCTTCTGGGACTCCAGGTTGTGCATGGTGCTCGTCACTGGAAAAATCATTGGACCAGTATCTGCGTGGAGTCTGCGGCCGACCGCCGTGGTTGGACAAAGCAATCCGCGACATTCATGAAGCCGGCTCATCATTTCGCAGGAGCTAGCCGCAGTAAACTATAGTATAAAGTAATACCCAGCGCACTCGCATTCGGTGGTGGTCACGCGGTAGCGCAGCATCAGAACGGTGTGCCGGCTTACTGGTAGTCAGTTATCTGTGCATGCGTTACCAATTAGATATAACCACCTTGACACAAAGTGCTCTCTTAGGGTTCCTCTTCTCTCATATTTTCTCACTTGTTAGTTGGGTCCTTGTGATTGTGACCAGATTACTGTTCTACCACTTTTGCTGTTATTTCTTTTGCTTATCTCACATCTGTACTCGGCTAGACGAACTCTACTGAACACACTTCTCTGAGTCTAAAAACGCACAACGTATTTACCGTCTGGTTGTGTTGTCCACATAAGATCGTTGAACTAGTTTCTGTTATTCAAACCCTTTTTTATCCTCCTTCCTGCCGAACAACCTCCTCGTTGTGCAAGCTGGGCGCTTCAGGTCTTTCGAGTTTCCAGCGAATGATTCGGCAGCAGTGTTCCAAGACGCGATGCGTTTACGCCTGGTGAGCGTTCTTCCTATAAAAGGCCACAAATGTCCGTGTAACAACACGGTGACGTGGCAGATGTGACTCGCCACTAACTAAAGTCACTGCCCCTTGTCTATTCGAAGACATTGTATACCGACAAGCAAGCCGAGTATTGGATTCTGCCTTTGTATTCGTGAGCGTTGGGCCCCTGGTATGGCTTTGGTCGTCCAAAAGGCGTATGAACTGAATGTTCAATCACCGGCACCCAATGGATGCGAAGTCCTTATTTCGCCCTGCTGCCTTGTGGGTTAGGCCTTTCAGCCATAGGCTCGGGGCCGTGGTCCCCAAAGACAACCCACCTACTTCGGCCTAAGCAATCGGGTAGTGTCTCGCCTACTGATGAACAATGGATACACACAACTACGCTCTCCTTCGCTCTCATGGTCCTCTGTCCTACGACTACGCCAACTTTACAGACATACGCCACCAATGTACTTACACCTTCCTTGTATCACTCAACCCCATTATTACTTGATTCTTCAACTGTGAACAACACTACCTCCGTCGATGAAGTTGTTCTCTCGACCCCCGTCAACTTAAACACAGTCCTCAACTGGGAGCTACAAGGCCCGAAGTCTGCCATCTTCGCTACTGCAGCCTGGAATGCATTTCAAACTAGCAACCCTCAACGCGCGCATATTACTGCAGATCGGACAGCAAGCTGAACTTACACGTACGCTGGAGCCCCTGAAATTGATGTCTGCTGTCTGAGCGAAACTCGACTGCAGGATTACAACACAGTCTACCAGTTGTCGTCACCAGTCCAACCACACACCCGCTTTTATCTGCCTTTCTGGTGACGCTGAGTCCTTCGCATCGGGGCAAGCTGGTGTTGGAATCGCCCTCAGTGCTAGAGCTGAGACCGTACTCTTTGACTGGATTCCAGACAACAGTCGCCTATGCGTTGTGAGGTCCCATGGCTCCTGTAAGGTTAGCATTCCTCGGGCAAACAAACGTGTTCTTTTCGTGATCACTGCCTACGCGGCCACAGACTGCAGCTCGGATGCAGTCAAAGACCAGTTCTATCAATATCTTCATGAGGTGCTCCTAAGAGTGTCTAAAACAGATATCGTTGTTATGGCAGGCGACATAAACACACGTCTCGGTCGACTGCTGCCATGTGAACGCCATCTCGGTGGACAGCAAGGGTATGATAATGTTCACTCTAACAACGGAGAGAGACAGCTCAGACTTTGTGCTTACCATCAACTTTTCCTCTCCAGTACGAGCTTTCCTCACCCTGGACGCCAGTATGTCATCTGGCGTCCTCCATTATCAACCCAGTGCTGGTCACAAATTGATCACATAGCCATAAGTCACAGGTGGCGTAGCAGCGTACGCGATTGCCGATCATTTTGGTCAACTTGTGTTGACACCGATCATGCAGTGGTGTGTGCGATAATTTGCATGCGTTTCGGCGGTTCACCCACGGTCAAACAAACCCGACTCAACACACACGAGTTGGAGGACCCAACGGTGAAAACGCAGTATCAACAGAAGCATCGCGAAATGCTCGCTCTACTCCATGCTCTGGATGTTGATCAACACTGGTCAAATTTGCGAAAAGCAATGATATCCGCCGAATGGTCCAGCTACGGACTCCTCCGCTGCACACCCAGAAGCTGGATTTCGGAAATATTCCCGCAACTGCTAGATCGTCGACGGACTGTGCCTGCCAATGCGGGGCACAATAATTTCGTTGGTGTATCTATCAAAAATTGAGGTCCAGCGTTCGCTCTGACCGTGAATCCTGGTGGTCAAAATGAGCTGTTGCATCGGCTTGAAACTTCTACAGTGTATTTTACCTCATCAAGACCATTGGTTACCATTCATATGCTGTCGGTCAGACGACTTGTGAGTCAGACGGCAAGAAAATCATCAACCTGCACAGATGCGTAAGTCGCTGGGCAGAGTATGTTGATTTCCAATTTAACTGCTCAGCGCAGCCCCTTGTGACACCTCCGTTTCCCAAGGTACTTGGTCCATCGCCACAGATTCTCCTACTGAAACAAAGATCCGAAGTGCAATCCAAGCATCGAAGCGTCATAAAGCTCCCGGTTCTGAGAGCCTTCCCCAGCTCTAAACAAAGCTGGCGGGAATGCACTTGTCAACGAGATGCAACCACTGTTCACGAGAATTGCATGGGGATAGTCTGTCATTGTCCCGATTCACAAGAAGGGCTCTCGCGAGGATTACGCTAATTATCACGAAATTTCGTCGATCTCTGTTGACTCCAAGATTTTCGTGGCTGTTCTAGTCCGCCGGCTCTCAGCGACTAGAGAAGGCGTTTATCGGGAGGAACAAGCGGGTTTCCGTCCAGGTCGAGGTGGCATTGACCACATCTTCACACACCGCCAACTTCATGAAGTCCGTCACGTCCATCGACAGCCAACAATCGTAGTGTTCTTGGATATCCGAGCGGCTTTTGACTCAGTAGAGAGATCTGCGTTGTGGAACTGTCTACTAAGGAAAGGTGACCCTGATAAGTTTGTAGCCATCTTGAAGGATCTCTAAAGTCACACGTCGGGCAAAATCAGAGCTTACGGCAGGCATTCCAATTCGTTTGCTGTTACCAGCCGCGTGCGCCAAGGTCGCCTCATCACATCTTTCCTCTTCAACTTTGCCATTGAAGATGTCGTCCAACGAGCATTGTAAGTCCCTCCAAACTGCGGCATTGAGTTTCACCAAGGTGACAAAGTCGCGGACTTGAACTCCAAAGATGATATCGATTTGCTCGGAGACGACCCACAAGCCATCCAGAGCGCTCTGAACCGCTTAGCGATGGAGGCATCTAAGTATGGCCTGTTTCACTCCAGGCAAATGTAAAGTACTACTCCAGGATTGGCAGATGCCTGTGTCTGCCTTCACCATTGCTGGTGACGTCCTGGAACAAGTCCACTGCTTCGCTTATCTAGGGAGTTGCATCACAGCTGGCGACTGTATTGGAGATGAAGTCTCACAACGGATCGCAAAGACCCGCCTTGCATTCGTCCGACTGAGGCACTTGTGGCACCGTCGCAACGTCAGTCTCAAACTCAAGGGCAGAGTATACGTTGTCTCTGTCCGTGCCGTTCTGTTGTACGGTTATAGGCCTTGGCCGACTCGCTCAAAGACATAAAACGATTGTCAGTTTTCGACAACAGTTGTCTACGTAGGATTGCTCGCGTGTGGTGATAGCATCAAGTGAGTAACGCAGAAGTTCGAAAGCGAGTGTTTGGAGCAAACATCCCATGCCTCCAAACGGTTATTCTCCGACACCACATGCGTTGGCTCGGCCACGTATTGCGCATACCGGCCTATCGCCTTTCCCGTCGAGCGTTATTTGCATTCCCCGGAAGCGACTGGAAAAAGTGCCGCGGTGGACAATCAATGACGTGGAGAAGCAGCATGAAGAATGCAACCTCAAGCTAAGCATCCGTCGGACTGGTCCGCTTTCTATAATGGGGACCACGCCATTCGGAGTGCCAGTGGTTAGAAATGGTGGATGCTATGGCGCGCAACCAGCATTAGTGGAGCCAGTGCTGTTCAACCAGGTTATCTATTAGTTAACATCTCATCGAACATAACACTTCAAAACACAAAAATCCTAAAACGGCTTGTGTAAAACCGAAAAAAACGTTGTCTTTATGTTGAATTTCCTTTCCTCCCTTTATTTCGCCATGGTTTTGATGGTACATTATCTGTAATCAGATTGTTATATATATATATATATATATATATATATATATATATATATATATATATATATATATATCCACGGTGGTTTCCGTTCAGTACCTAATTCCGAGCGTCCTGTGTATGGTTCCTCACGCTACTTACACGAGTAATGCTAAAAGCTGTTTGTATGTGAGTGTGTAACTAGCATCGCTTGTTTTTACAGATTATCACATCCTGCATTTAAGGTTGTTGAACATGAGGTCGCTTGTGGAAGGAGGAACACTTGGGCATTTCCTTGTAATTGTGAAAGATACCACTACTTGACCATGAATTTATTGCATTTCGTCGAGCGACCAAATGTTCTATCGCCTACAATGATGACACTTCTTAACGAAGAACCGCCTAATCTACCTTCAAAACTTCGTCCCCCAAAACACTTTTCTGAGGAGTTTCTCAGACAGAAGCTTTCTAACCTGGAGTATCAGGTTACACAAGAAAAATACACCGAAAAGCAAGTCCCATCCCTTTTCATCTATATATTTTTTCGCAGGCCTTTTACTGGGAAGTACCTTAGAGAATGGTCACCTGGAGTTTATGTCTGTGTTGTTTGCGATTCTTCATTGTTCAACAGCGAAACCAAGTTTGATTCATACACAGGTTGGCCCTCATTTTCAAGCGTAATCGAGAGACAAGCCGTTAATTTGCGCGTGGATTCGTCTTCAGGTACGTCACACTGACAGCTCAGTTGTCTGCGAATGATTACCCTCATACCGGTTCATTCCTCTGATTTTGCTTGGAAGTGTGTTTATTTTATTTCCACCATTTTGTTTAGATAAATGTCCATATAGTGGGTGCTTTTTTACTTGGTATCTTTGCATTTTCTTATTATGCTCTTGTCGTACCTACATTTATCTTTCGAAATTCGTTTTGCTAAAACGTTGCCATTATATACCCTGCTCACCCACTACTAAGACGACTCTTCCTCTTCTGAGACTACCCGGCTTTGCAGATGGTCTTGAACTTTTGGTAAAACAGAGCGTATTACTAGCAAGTAGTGGGGATCTGGGTATAATTTAAACGTAATTCATCGCAGTCTTGTCAGTCAGGCAGGTCCCCACACGCCTGGAAAAGCACCGCGCTATATCGTAGTCAACTGTCTGCCATGCAGGTTCGCCTTCGTCATCTATGGCTTGGTGGCACAAGCTACTGGCATCCGGAAGTCATAGGGTCGGAACCTGACAAGGCTCCCAGGTACGCGCACCACTGACGAGACTCAGGAGGTCGAAACGGCCGTCCGATGCTTTTCAAAACGTGTGGGAGCCTGCCTGACTGAGAGATGGCTGCGCTGAACTGCATCTAAACTATAGCACCACCACTGTTCGCAAAGGCCGTCTTCGCTGCGGTAGGTGTGTACCAGTCTCCCGCACAGCGAGGACCGAATGCATAACAGCACGTCGCCTCGGTCGTTTGGTAGTTTGTCATTCCGGAAGCACGAGTAGCCACTGATCTGGACTTCCTGGGTAGTGACCTCAGGATTTAACCAGGTTTCGGCTAGTCCTAGTACTTCCGGACGACGAGAGGCAACGAAGTGATGTACATCGTCACGTTTGTTCATTTAACTACAGACATTTGTGAAGGCTACGCACAGGTCGCGGTAGGAACCGACGGACGCGCGCGAATTGTCATCAGCCTGTTGATCTGGGTTCGGCGGACCCGACGAAATACCCCAAAATTTACAATGTGGAGATTGGTTTCTCCACTATCAGTCCTCCACTTAAACTCCACGATAGAGGATTTCAGGTTCCCTCTGTCCGACGGATCCAAGTCGGGACGAATATGGATTTTTAGACCTCTTGGCCTACCGAGGCGCGATAGCATCAGCGTCGGATTCGTTCCACCAACAAACCTGATTTGCGGAGGCCGGAACTTCCTCTCCTCACTATTTCCAAAATGCCTCACCCGCAATTCCTGTTCATTCACGTCGAGAAGCCTATCACTCAGGCATTGTAGGAAATCCACGTCGTGGTCATAACGAGCTTGAGGACTAGCATCCGTCGACTCAGGCGCGTGAAATATCATAAGGTTACAACACCGCTGGTCGCTGGCACTTGTCTTCTCATTGTAGCTTCGCTGCATTCTCCATTGGCCTTCATCGCTTGCGCCATTGCGCACCGGTATGTTAGTGTCCATAGGACGCAACACCGGCACGCCATCCGAAGTTCCTGCAACGGTTGGATATCACTCTGGAGAGCATGCAGCCGGTGGGCAGATGGGCTCGTTCAAACATAGAGGCGGGTGGGCTTCTGCTTGCTTGGATGAACCCACTGAGCTCCTTGCTATGGGACGTTTCGCCCGCCTTGTAGGCTCGCGCAGCTTCTCGGCTGTTTGGGACTGTACGGTGGCTTGGCATTTCTTGCACAATATTTGGACAAAGTCATGCTGTATTCCATGTAGTAGTTTAAAATGATCTAAAGACAAACCAATACACGAAATGTGGAAGATGCATATAACACATAAGGTATGTAATAGCATTGGCTCTATGCCCAACTATTTTGCAACAAGTGCCCCAGGGAATCAGCCCTGTGATTACAAATAGCTTGGCAGAGGTGATGGTAAAGGTGATAACTTGAACGATAAGTACAGGATACAAATACCACAGTAATATATGCGGACACGACAATAAACAGTATCAGAATCGCAAAGCAAACTGAATTTGACAGGAATAAACACGGAAATTCTGCTCTTCAGAAACTAATTAACGTCATAAACTGGCCTGTTAAACAGAGCGAGTAAAGCGATCCTGCGAGGTGGTTGATCGATCCACTTACCTTGGCAGCTGCATCAGCAACGATGGGCGCACACAAACTAAAGTCAGTTTACACAGTCCTTCCGAACTGGACGTGCTTCCCCTTAAGTTGTGCGTTCATCGAGCGGTAGCATCCTAGTGCAGTTCCTCTAGCAAACATCCACTTAACCGCTGTCTTGTAGCTCGAAATAATGAGTCTGTAGCGTTTGTAAACTTCTGCTTTTAGGCTATACTTGCCTTTTAAGTACTTCTCACAGTTTCTTTCAATTACATCAACCCACACGTGCGCATCTTCGAATTTTGTTTTGTGTTCCCGCTTCTGTCCGCTGCGCGTGTTTTCGTGCAACTTGCTCAACGCTGTTTCTTGATGTCTGGCAATCAGAATTACTGCTAGACTCGGATTGCGTTGCATATCAAGGCATACATCTCGAAGTCTGAGAATTAATTGTTCAGATTAACTTTCTTTCGTAACTGATTGAGCTTCTCATAAATCTTTTGTTTAGCCTTTCCTCTGCAACTCAAACGCTAGGAGCAAAGCAACTCTAACAAAACATTCTTGATCTTTCTCCCTCTCAATACAACTCTCCCTCCTCGGTTAAGCAGCTACTTGTGACTCTGATGTTGAAAAGATGTGGACGCCTTGCTTCTGAATGTTTACTTAGGGTATTTAGATTTTAGCTACTCTCCATGCTTCTCCCACGTTATTAATCCTCATGCCCAAGTCATCCTGATTATGTAACAGCAAAGCATCAGTCCAGCTTACTGATGTACTACTACTGTTGATAATGCTGATAATTGGATGTTTCTGCAATACTCCTGTATTATGCCCCATGAATTCAGTTCGTGTCGCCTCTGATATTCTTTTAGTCCGGTTAATGTTCCCTATCAGCTGCGGTGACGATTGCATCAGCTTTTCGATCAACCAACCATCTACAGACCGCACATGACCTACTTAACAATGCAATGGAAGAAGAGGTGGAAAAACAACTACCTTTTTTGGACGTGCTGGTTACCAGCACAGTGGAAAGCGGATTACAAACATCAGTTTACAGAAAAGCTACACACCGACCAAATCCTGAACTTCAACAGCAATCACCCTAAGTGTCACAAAATAAGCTGTTCCATAGGATAGAATCGCAATGCGATACTGCGGCGAAACGAAAGGGAGAAGAACATCTCTTTATGTCTTTCATTCGCAACGGCTACCCACGCAATTTCATCCGAAGACACCTAAACCGAAGGAGCACATCTATCGCACCTACACCAACAACGGCGAAAAGCATCGCCTTGCCATACAACAAAAACGTATCGTTAAAGACAGCCAGACTCCTCAAGCCGCACAACCTGATGATAGCTCACATATCAACTGCGACTTTGAAGGGAATCTTATTTAGACCTAAAGAAAAAATAAAGGCACACGAACGGATACAGTGCGAGAACTGTGAGGAAGAGTATATGGGTCAAACGGGGAGGAAAATATCCACAAGAATACAAGAGCACAACCATGCATGTCGAGACCATTATGCATCGTCACAGATCTCAGCGCATCTCGATGAGGAAGAACACAACGTTAACTGGGGCAACACGGAAATTCTGGCATACGCAGGGACAAGAAAAGGAAGAGAATTCCTCGAGGCATGGTTCTCTACGGAGAATTCAGTGAACCTCCGCGTTGACCTCGATCCTGTGTACCTACAGCGGAGAAAGCGTGAAACTAGGCGACCGAAAATCGAACTAACAGAGGTTACGGGACACAGATAAGCATCGGGTGCGAGAACGTGCGAACACTACTGGACCGGAACTCGAGTGCGCGCCCCGAGCGACGCACTGCACTGGTCGCGATGGAACTGACGCGTTACAACATCGATATTGCGGCGCTCAGTGAGACTCGACTCGCTGAGCAAAGTAAATTGCATGAAGCAGGTGCTGGCTACACATTCTACTGGGTGGGTAACACCGCCTCAGTACACGTGAACATGGGGTCGGATTTGCAATATCCAATCACCTAAATGGCCAGCTGGTGAGTGAACCAACAGGCATCAGCGCGCGACTGATGACTGTTCGCCTACGACTCGGAAGAGGTAAGTTTGCCATTTTTGTTAGCACGTATGGTTGGACCACGTTTTATCCTGATGACACGTGATCAATTCTACACTCAGTTATCCTCCGTGATACGGTCTGTGCCGAGGAGCGACCGACTATTACTGCTGGGTGATTACAACGCGCGCGTTGGGCGTGATGCATCAGCGTGGACAGATGTTATCGGTTCGCATGGCATTGGTTCAGCGAATGCGAACGGTAACAGGCTGCTCCCACTGTGTGCCACTCACGGCCTGACAATCACGAACACTCGGTTTGCACTGAGTGCGAGTGATATAGCAACTTGGACGCACCTACGGAGTTGTCACGCTCACCTGCTCGACTATGTCATCGTACGTCAGCGTGATATGCGTGAAGTGCGCATGACACGTGTACTGCGTGTAGCTGAGTGTGGCACTGATCACAAATTGGTGCGGACCAAACTGTATATACGTTTTCGTAAGTCTATGTATTGCACTCCCGCCATGAATCGGCGTACATTTAACTATCTCTCCCTCGGTACTGTGGCGAAACGTATTGAGCTGGAGAAGGCGATGGCTGCACGCCTGTGTGATGTGGAATGCATAACCACAGTGGGCGACCTGTGGCACCACATTCGCGACCAGGTGACAGCTGCTGCCGAGGAGACCATCGGGCGCGCAAACTGTAAGCGGCCTGATTGCTTTGATGACAACAATGTGACGATTGGCGCATTGGTGTGTGAGAAGAGTGCGGCATTTGCTGCACATGTTTCAGACCCCATTGACTTGGGGAAAAGTAGTGAGTTTCGAAAACTTCGATGGCGACTGACCCGAGAGCTCCTTCGCATAAAAAATGCATGGTGGACGGAGAAGGCGAAGCAGATGGAATGCTACGCCGAACGTCACCAACAAAAGGCATTCTTTGACTCCTTGAAGGCGGTGTATAGACCGAGATTGGAGCCGCTGAGGACGCTGACCGATGGTAGCTCAGATGCTAACTGTACACAGACTGCAGACATAATACAGATCTTGCAAAAACACTTTGACTGTCTCTTGAACAATCGTTCAGAGATTGGCTGGCCTACTTTGAACAGCCTGAAGCAGAATGATGTGAAGACGAGTTTGGCGGACACGCCGACACTGGGTGAGACGCAGAGAGCAATTGCTCAGCTGCGAAACGGCAAGTGTTTTGGGGCCGACGGGATCCTGCCTGAGGTATTAAAACACAACGGACCCGCGTTGGTGACTGCGCTGCACCACTTGGTGCAACGCGTGTGGATTGAGGAGGTGCCTCCTGAGCTGAAGGTTGCCCTTGTGCTACCACTGTGCAAGAGTAAAGGGAGCAAGCAATGTTGCACCAATTATCGTGGAATTAACTTGCTGAGTTGTGTGGTCAAGGTCTTTGTCCGAATCCTGCTCAACCGCCTCGTCAGTCAGGTTGTGGAACCTAACGTGGCGGAAGAGCAGTGTGGATTCCGCTCGGGTCGCAGCACTATAGATATAGTGTTTGCGGCTCGTCAGTTGCAGGAGAAATGCAGAGAATGATACTAGCCGTTGTACTCGCTTTTTGTTGATTTCACCAAGGCATTTGATACGGTGAACCGCGAGGCATTGTGGCTGGTGTTGGGTAAGTTTGGTTGCCCGCCTAAGTTTGGAAGCTTAATTGAATGTCTGCACAGTGGTATGCGCGTGAGGGTGCAGCTGAGTGGAGAGACCTCGGATGACTTTGCAGTTGTCTCTGGTGTGAAGCATGACTGTGTCTTAGCTCCTGCCCTGTCTAATATTTATCTTCGCGCAATGATGTGCTTTTGATGCGGCTTGTGCTTACGGTGTTCGTGTGGAGCAGCGTATTGATGTTGGGTTGCTGAACATCCGTCGTTTCGGTGCGAGAACTCTAGTCTGTGAGACAACTATCCGTATATTGCTGTTTGCTGACGACTGTGCGTTGTTTGCACACAGCGTGGATGAGTTGTAGCACATGACTACTGTTCTTGCTTCGACAGCTGCCAAATTCGGGCTCACCATCAACACAAGCAAAACTGTCTGTTTCTTTTCAGCCTTCACCGGAGGTGCAATCTTCAATATTACCGCGAATCAGCATTGGTGTTGAAGTATTGGAAACCACCTCCCGCTTCTGCTACCTTGGGAGTGTGATGTCGACTGACCAGCAGCTTTACAGTGAGCTTCGTATTCGCGTCTCAAGGCAACGGCAGCATTCAGGAAGCTAGAGTACCGCGTGTGGAACAACCATCAGCTTACCGTTGGCACGAAGCTGATGGTGTACAAATTCATGGTGCTGTCCGTTCTTCTATACGGCAGTGAAACGTGGACGATGTACTGGCGGGATGTGCGATATCTCGAGCGGTTCCATCAACAGTGTTTGCGGCGGATTCTGCGCATCGGTTGGGGCGACAGAGTTGCGGACACGGAAGTGTTGCGCCGAAGTGGAATGTATGCAGTGGACTGCATACTTTTGCTGATACACCTGAGGTGGCTCGGTCATGTGTGACGTATAGATTCGACGCGGATACCGAAACAGCTATTAAATGGTCAGCTGAGTATTGGGGAGCGGCATTTGGGGAAACCGAAGTTTCGTTACCAGGACATGATCAACGTGAGCCTATCACGTTGTAATTTTGATTGAAGGTCATGGGAATCGAAAGCGGTTGGTCGGCGTGCATGGCGCGATCTGATCACGAAGGCCGTTGTCAAAGCAAGAGAAGTCCCTCATTCATGCGGAGAAGAACCGGCAATTGCGGAAGCGACCGGCGCCGATGGGTTGTATTCCATCGACATCGAGCGCATGGTGCTGTAGCACGTGCGATCGCGAGTACCTGAGTCACGCAGGCCTAGTGAGCCAAGAGCGAGTCTACTTGGGGCCACCACCGAAGCGACGACGGGTCCTGCAGAGAACGTAGGCAGAACCGGCGCAGCGTTTGTAGGTACGCCGCATTCGATTTACTAACCGCGTACTTACATGCTGAGCCTCTTTATTTCAGCTGATGGGTTTGCTATATTCTCTCGTTATTGCCTAGGTGAACTCTCTCCTGTTAACTTACACACGTCGTTCAAGTTAATTGTAGTTAACTTGGTAACCTTTTCGTGATTGTGGCCTTTTCTCAAAATATATTTTCTGGCGTCTTGAAACTATAGCGGATTTGTTTTGGCAACCAATTTATTTCATATGCTCATTTATTAATGAGCTATGTCGGCATATGTATATGCATTATTCGATTTATTGTATTTGATATTGGCGTTTCAAGTGACTGCCTGTTGCTTGATATCTCCGGTGTGGCTGCGTTTGATGTGCATGTTGACAAGGTTCCTACCTGTCTACTACCCACCACCTCGTCCATACTGGCTCCAGGAGACAGTTGGTCGTTGCTGGAGGGGACGGGGTGCACGGTTCTTGTGGCCGTGTTAGGATCAAAGAGTGGTTCCATGCACTCAGTGTGGAGCGGACTACGGTCCAGCCACCGCCTTGTGTGCACTTGATTCCCCAATACAGCGTGGTTGTGTTTGTCTGTGAAGGAGTGTGGGCCGGCTCCGTTGATGAAACGTGGCTCCCATCCGCATGCCTCCCGGTCTTATTCCTTCGGGTTTACACTGGATATGAGGTTTTTGGAGCTGTGGATGGTGCAGCGCAAGCCACCCATGGTCCCTCTGTAGGCGCAGGTGTCCTGTGGCTTGCCACAGTGGCAGGCAAATCCGAAACCGGATGCCGCCAACCATATGTTATACTTTGATGTTTTGTGCTCATCTTCGGTCGACTAAATCGTACGACTTCGTAACCTAAATAGGGACATATCAGCGACACTATGCTTTTGGGACATGGAAACTCCGGTCATCGTTGTCAGAAATGTGAAAGTTCTCATGGTTGATTGCTCACATCTATCCACTAAAAACAACTGGATAGCTTACTTGGTCTGTGTGTCACTACCGGTCACGTAAATATCGAATTCCAAACAGGGAAATCAAAATATGTAGATTGTGAGATGACCTTGCCATTTCATGCATTCGTATCAATCACAAAAGCATACAGTAACGATATGTAAATGAACAACCAACGGTATCAATAAGGTCATATATATCTCCGGATTTGCGCTACCAGGTAGGATTAAAATCACATTCAGCTGTTTTTGAATACATAGCGTGACTGTGACTTTAATTCTACCCTTTTAGCTCAAATCTGGATCTAGATCTCTTTGATATTGTTGTGGTTCGTTTACATATGATTGCTGCATGATTTTTGTGATTGATAAGAATACAGAGAATGGCGACGTCATCTCACGATCTACTTCTTATGATTTTCTGTTTGGATTTTTAAGGGGAACCTCTTGTTTTAAATATCGAATTGTTTGTCCGAAAACTGCGCAATCGATTTCGCTAGCTATCACCACAGGTCACATGCCTCCCAGTTGGTTGCACTGGTTATGATCGGCTCCTATATGTGCCAGAGAATTATGCATCCGACGCCGTATTTTGTGCGGCGCTCAGACCTAAGCAATTTCTCTTAGCTCAGGGTATCAGTGTTTTGCAGGAGTGGAATGTCGATTGAATTAACTAGGAAAGTTAGATCTAGATGGATTTATAATACTATTGTGGAGTTATCGCGTTGCTCTGTCTTCCTGCTAGTTCATTTCAAATTACCTAACTTTGAGCACATCCACTGACGGTTAACTCGATCTTCCATACATCTAATTCCTTACAACTAAAGCGACCAGATGCTATTCCACAATTTGACTTTCCATAGTCCGATTCATGCTTTAAACTTATTTCCACTCTCGATAGTGAGGTACGGTGTAGAAAATGAGTGTCTTCTAGGAAAATAGACAGACTTCCACATCGTAATCGTGAAACTGTGTCAACGAAACAAAGAGGGGGCTTGGATCGACTAAGTGTCTGTTGATGAGACAATCGTTCGGGACTAGGGAGTTTGCAATATAGTGACTGTGTTTCTATCCGTGACCGAGCTGAACAGTATTCAAATATTTAAGTTTGGATCTACTCGATGCAAGATAGGGGAGTTCATTGCTTCGAATGTGTGAGTTCTGTCTGAATCTCGCTTTGAGGAGCCCACCTGGAACCCTCAAGTCATTTCCCATCTAAACCAACTCCCCTACGTTTCAAGGATGCATCAGCTTGAGGCCGTTTGTATATCATCTGTGCTATATAACTACTGTTGTGTGGATTGAAACCAAGATAAACTGTGGAACAAGCATGAGTGACCTTCGGCAGACCGACCTTAAGATATAAATCTGTAAATCCGCCACTCAGCAGTTGTGCCACTTCAGTAAACCGATACTGTTCTGGTCGGCTTCGACAGTCGCCTTATGTGATTAACTCTCAACCAAATCCCACCCACTGAATGAACTAGTAAAAATTTTCTGGTTGTGGAGTACTCGCTATTTATTTGGATTGCGGCACACTATCTCAATTTGCGCCACGATTTATTCTGTAGAAGACTTCGGTCATTCCGATTTACTGCGACTGCATTTGGAGAGGAGTTTTTGTTATCTTCAGCTTCTAGTACTTGACATCACAACCAGTTTCACCTCCTTTGGAATATTTAGTGATAATCAAATTTGGGAGATAAACCCTTGGCCTAGTGATCAAAGCGTCAGACTACAACCATTAGGTACGTTGTTTTCATTTCTGGTGCCCTAACAGAGACTTGAAGCATGTTAGCAACAATCCCGTGATAGTTATGTTTGCAACCCCCATTAAGACCATATTGCTCATCTCTTTCAGGTAGTGGTATGCGAGTTGAAGCTTCTTGCAGTCAATGTGGAGCTCATTTGGGCCATGTGTTTGACGATGGACCAAAGCCACGCGGCGTACGTTACTGCATCAATTCTGCAGCTTTGAAGCACAGACCGAAGGAATCCGCCAAGTCATCTAACTTCTGACTGACTGCATTGTCTTTTCACCCCGGTCGTGACTTGTGTTCTTTGCATTTTCAATCTTGTTTTGTTTTCTATTGCGCAAGTGTTCTTCTTTTATTCCATTACTGTTACTCCATTGCTGTTACATTGTTGGAGTCGTAGTGCTCAGTCTTGATCAGATAGGCACTGTTTATTCATGTGCAATACACTTTTCTTCGTACAGACCCGGAATCTCTTCGCTGATTTTTGTTGGATGGAAATGGTGTGTTCATCTTTTAATGGAATTCTGCGCGTTGGTTAGGTTGAATACACTAATCGTCGCAACTTTGACCCAATGATAGCTAGAGAGCCGTTTTTGATGATATATTCATCCCCGGTTTAATTTAGTAACTACCGTCCGAACCCCAAAGTGTCATGGATTCGGCTGTCCCGGCTCGCATCGTCCTGTGAAACAGTGCTACAGACGTGGTGACATCCATACCTGATTTAGATTTAGGAACTCAGCATATGCTTTGGTTGATAACTATGGTGATATAGCTATCGCCATGAGTGAACCAGGCGACCGAATCGAATCGAATAGCCGGTCTGTGGTTGTGATGACTGTGTGGCTCCATTCTTGCAGAACTGCCTTACAACTTGTAAATGCGAAATGCTTTCTTCTGATGCTCTAATCCGAAAAGCATAACATCCCGGATAACCCTTCCGTTAGTATTTAAAGACCATTTTTGCAAGCGTTTCTTAATTTGACGCGGTTCGCTGCTTCTGCCTAACATACATGTGTCAACAAGGCCTTTTGGTAGTCCAGCATTGATGAGCAATCATTGTCGACACAACGTCCGTCTGTAGTGAACCCGAAAACAAGCATCTCATCATTTTGTATCCGTGGACAAAACAGCAACAGTACCTCAGACATTTGAACTGATGCTTAGCTATCATACAACCAGGATGACCTATTGAATAAAGAATAATAAGATGGAGAGAAGGGGACTTAATGCTCTAACTAAACATTCAGCATCAAGGCGCCTACACATTATGTTAACAACGTACCGTCACAAACAGCTGGCTATCGTGCAAACCTAAGGACATCAGTGAGACAGCTTCCTTGCGGCTTTCACTGCCACGCGTCATAATCAGCCCTTAGCACGCAGATAACAGTGCCAAACTCACATTAAACGGGCAGCGCGGCTAGGAGACAGAAGCAGACACGCCACTGGTGTCAGCTGCGAGCCATATTCTGTAAAGTCTCGAGCGAATCATAAGGCGAGTCACGTGGACTCCAGCCCGGAAGGCGAGACGGACTGACGCCACCGAGTTTAGTCGTCAGTGACTTCATTTCTCGCTTCCAAGTCAATTTTTGTCCACCTCGAGCTTTGCGCCATACTATATCTGGCAGACTAAACAAGGCCTTCCTAGGTAAGCGGGGACCAGCAATACATAGAATGTGCCCAATCCAACGCAGCTTATTCAGCGCTATCTATTGTTATCACTGTCTAGTACTCGCCCACGCACATCATCGTTGGGGACACGCTGGTGCCACCTGATACTAGCAATGTTCCGCAAACATCCATGATCAAAGACTTGAAGGCGCCTCAGATCTTCAGACCGAAGGGGCCAAGTCTCATTACTGTAGAGCAGAACGGCCCTCACAGTGGTCTTGTAAACATCGCCTTTCCGACGGAGGTAAACTCCCTTCTGTCGCCAAAGATGCCGCAGGTTCAAGATGGCAGTTCTGCTTTCATTTACAATGCGCCCATCGTTGCAACGATGGACATTAGTCTTTTCATTATTCAGCTGGAAATATGTTCAATCGAATCTGATTCCTCCATCACTAGCTTCTCAGTGGGCTGTGCGCAAAGCCGCACAAACAGTCCGCGTATCATCAGTGATATAACTTAAGACTTCGCCCATTCATATCCTGACAACCTCGTACCAACTTTATCCGAAGAAGGAGAACGACCCAAACATCTTCGGCCTTCATTTCAGTAGTTCATCCGATACTAAACCATCGCTAACCCGATTATGTGTGGACTTAGTAAGTTCGACAGAACGCTTAGGTCTCGTCGGCTAGTAATAGGGTTCACTCAAATAAGATCCATGTTGTCAGACTTTTGGGCTCCGAGTTTCTTTAGTCAATTCTATCGATTCTTCGTCTCTCGCTGCGCTCATCTCATGAACCCCTTGATGGGCCTTAGAGGAGAGGGGCGTAAGTTCGTTTTTATCGAAACACACCACTTTCACTGAGCTTTCCTCGCTCATTCCGAATTGAGCACTTTTGTCTTCTTCATGGCTGATTCCTCGAACTCTGAGGTGGGAGCTGTCCTTCAACATGTTAGCGATGGCAACCCTACTTCTCCAAGAACCGCCAACTCGCAGAATCGTGGCACAACACATCTGGGTGGTAAATGTTCGCCGATCCGTCAGCTCCGGCACACTTCAGAGTAGTTCACTTCACGTTCAACTCTTCCTCTGGTAACTATACATACTAACTTTGTCATGCAGTTCATTGCTGATGCATCACGTTCCTCAATGAGTGATTGTAGTAGTCAATGTGGGAAGAAATCCAACAATCAGGCAGAAACTTGTATTAGAAAACGCGTAGCCACTACAGAGAACAAATACAAGTATAACGAAAATGGAAAGAACGTTACGGTTAACAAACTTCTCTGTCTTCTTGTTCTTTCTGCAACAGACAGAAGTTCGGCTCTGAAACGAAAGCGGTGACTGCGGTTATGACAGTAGAAATAATAAGTCGATCGTCTCTTACACTACACCCCTCTACTCTGGCAACGTCCCCGGTGCCTGGCCAGAATCCCCTTGTGCAGGCACTTCTAATTCAGCGGCTACGTCGGGTGGGTCGGTCATTTCGCCCTCGACTTGGCTGATCTCTATTCGAACGAGGTTGAGACGGTTAAAGTATACCACTATGGGCTGTCTGGTTGGATTATGGACACGCTTTACGATACACATATTATCGGACAGTAGCCGCTCGACTATGTAAGGGCCCACCCACTCGCGATGGAACTTTGTAGGTACCCCTTGGGTCTGGTGTAGCCAAGCAAGGTCACCAACTCTGAGAGGGACGCCGAAAAGCTTTTCATATAGTACTCCTTTTGATATCGGTGAGCATTTTCCAGATGTGACTGAGCGGACTGAGTTGCTTTTCGAAGCGAATCCAGAAGTCTCCTAACGTGTTCCATTACTGATGAATGCAGCTGCTAAGCTATGGGGAGACGTAAATTAGAAGGCAAGCGCGACTCTCTTCCTGTTCACATAAAGTATGGTGTTTGTGCAGTTGAGGAAGGTACCGTACTTCGGTAGGCAAGCAGACACTTGGGTAACATGATGTCCCACTCGTTAATGTTCTGATCCACAAACGCTTTCAGTAATGCTTTGAGGGAACGGTTAGTTTGCTCAACTTGTCCGTTACCCTGAAAGTGATAGGTTGTTGTTCTAGTCTTGTCTATTCCAAGAACTCGGCATATTTCTTGTACCAACGCGCACTCAAAGCAGGAGCCTCTGTCTGAATGTAGCTGTTCTGGTGCTCCCCACTGACAAATCCAATGATTGACTATCGCTGTCGCTACTGTAAGCGTGTCAGCTTGTGCAACCGGCACAGCCTCGCACCATTTGGTGAAATAATCCACCATGACGAGGATGAAACGGTGCCCACGCGGTGTCACGGGCAATGGTCCTATGATCTCTGCACCAACCATCACGTTAGGGTATCTGGCCTTCATAGTCTACAATGGGGTGCGGTTGGGGAATCGAGGGTGTTTAAAAAACCCACAATTCTTGCATGACTGGCAGAAGTTGATTACTTCTCGCCGCTGGTGTGGCCACCAGAAGCGGCGCCGTGCCGCTATGTCCATTTTATTAATCCCCGCGTGTCCCAGTTCTTTGTGAAGGTCGCTTACGCCCACTTTAACCATTGACTGTGGGACTACGATTCTTTTAGTATAGGTCGAGCCGGAGTCGAATAATAACACACCTTCACTAACTAGCTTGTCCCACATAGCCCACAAACAACTTGTCTCGTAGCTTTTTCCTCCCATCGCTTTACTCGATGGCTTATCGCCGCCGCGAAGACATCTTTCGTAACTTAGTGCAATGTCAGGGTCATTTGCTTGGGCCATCTGCCAGTGTCCATACTCTGCACTTTGAAGGTTAACCATGGCTGCGCGTCGTATGTTGTACGAAGGGCAATCCCCGTGATTACGAAGAGGAATTCGAGATAATGCGTCTGCATCCGCGTGTTGTTTACCTTATTTGTGTCGGTATACGAAGTCGTATTCCTGCAAAAGCTCTCGCCAGCTTGCGATTTGTCCTTCAGGGTCCTTGAAGTTTTGTAGCCAACTGAGGGACTGATCGTACCACAAATCACCATCCAAGCAGATAATGTCGATTCTGCTTTATGAAGAACAGGAGGGCTAACATTTCTTTTCTGATAGTGCAATAAGTTTTTTCTCTCGAGTTGAGGCTTCCGCTACTGTAGGATACGACTATATCCCATCTGGTCCTTTCTGTGACAATGCAGCTCCAATCGCGTGGTCACTCGCATCTGTATCAAAAATAAATTCTCCAGCCGACGGTGATAAATCAGGGTACATTAGTACAGGTGCCGCGCAAAATGACTCCCGCGGCCGATTATATGCTTCCTTACATTACGTGGACCATTCGAAAGCTCGACCCTTTTGCAGCGATGCATTCAATGATGCGGCAATAGTCGAAAAGTTCCGGATGAATCATCAGTAATACGATGCCAAGGCAAGAAAACTGCGCAACTGTTCATTGTTAGTAGTAGGATCTTCGGAGCGCAACCTCGAGATGATATGTCCCAGGTATACTACTTTTTCCCGTAGTAAGTGACACTTTGATGGTTTAAGTTTCAAGCCTACCTCAATCAGGCGTTTCAACACATCAGCCAAGTTGTTCAAATGTTCGTGTTTCGTTTTCCCATGAACGATGACATCATCCAAGTAGACGAGACACTTCTGTGGTATCAATCCATGCAAGACCTGCATCAAGCGTTGAAAAGTTGCAGGTACGTTTGCCAAACCAAAGTGCATGGCTTGAAATTCATAAA